AAAGAACAGAGATTTATGGTCCTGGAGGCTGGGAAACCCAAGGTCAGAGGGCCAGCATCCGGCAAGGGCCTTCTTGCTGCATCCTCACAGGTGTTCGGTAGAAAAGCAAGAGAGTACGTGTGCTCAAGAGGGAAGGGGGCTGAGCTCAACCTTTATCAGGAACCTCCTCCCAAGATAACAGCCTTAGTCCATTCATCAGGGCAGGGCCTTCCTGACCTAATCACCTCTCAAAGGTCCCACCTCTTAACATGGTTGTGTTGGGAATGAAGTTTCCAACACGTGAACTTTGGGGAACAGCCATGTCATTTACCAGGACCACCCTGCAGGAGCAGTGGGCACAACACACCCAAAGGAGAAGGGGCGCTGAGTCATCTCAGACCTAACACCTGCCCTTGGGCCTCAGCAGGGAGACCCCTCAGACGGGCACAATTCTAGGGGACTGGCAATGTTTTCTAATAATGCTGTTACTTCGTTAGTTTTCTTCTAAACTAGTGAAGTGACAGTATTTCATGTGCCTAAAGGGAGAGACATGGCAAGAATAAGAGCATAGACATAGAAGGATCAAAAGAACAAACACCTTTTGGACCCTGGCGGACTTGTCAGCCCCTGGAGCTGAGGGAGTCAAGTCGGTCCAGAAGCTTCCAAGGGGTAGGCCGAACCTGCTGACCACTGCTTCTGCCTTCTCTCCCAGGGATACCACGTCATCCCGAGCATTCCTTCAACCCAAGTCATCGAATTCTAGGACAAGAAAGGTACAGTGACCAGGTTCTCTGGGGCAATTTTAAACAGCCTTGGGTTAGCAGGGAGGAGGGGAAAGGAAAACAAGAACATTCTCATGGGATCTGGGCGCTCTGATTTTTTTTTTTTTTTTGAAACAGAGTCTCACTTTCTTGTTTCAGTGGGGTGCCGTGGCATCATAGCTCACAGCAATCTCAAACTCTTGGGCTCAAGTGAATCTCTTGCCTCAGTCTCCTGAGTGGCTGGGACTACAGGCACCTGCCACAATGCCCAGCTAGTTGTTTTGTTTAGTTTTCTATTTTTAGTAGAGACAGGGTCTTGATCTTGCTCAGGCTGGTCTCAGTGATCCATATGCCTTCAGCCTCCCAAAGTGCTAGGATTACAGGCATGAGCCACACGGCACCCAGCTGTGAAAATCACATTTAAACTGTACACCCTGGTGTAAATTCCAAGCCATGGGAAAATGCTCCATGTTTGTCTGAGGGTTTGAGAACCTTCGGGACCCCACTCTGTAACCGTGTACATTGTGGCAATGTAGATTCCAGCCTCTGTGCAATCTCTCACTGCAGCCTCCTGGCAACCCTAGGAGGCATTCCTTACACATGAGCAAAATGAGCTCAGAGAAGTGCAGTCATCTCAGGATCGCAGGTCAGCAGAGGTGGTTCTGGTCTAGAACGTGGCTCTGAACTACTGTACCAAACAGCCACCCCGGTCCCACCCCACCCTACCCCAGCTCTGGGTGAGCAGTTGATGCCTGTGCTTCCGGATTAATACAAGCTTAGCAGGTGCTTGCAGTGCTCAAAAGACTGAACTGGGACATACTGACTGAGCCCTCAGGGAGAAAGATTTCACTGCATAAAAGAGCTCAGTGACAGCCAAGTTGTTCAGAGACAGAGACAGCAGCTGTGGGCAGGTGATGGGGGCCCAGACCTGAAAACAGAAGCCAATGGAGGCCAAATGCAGTGGCTCACACCTATAATCCTAGCACTTTGGGAGGCCAAGGAAAGAGGATCATTTGAGCCGAGGAGTTTGAGGAGCCTGGGCAACATAGTGAGATCCTATCTTTACAAAAAATAAAAAATAATAATAATGATAAGGTGTGGTGGCATGTACCCATAGTCCCAGCTACTTGGGAGGCTGAGACAGGAGAATTGCTTGAACCCAGGAGTTTAAGTCTGCAGTAAGCTATGATGCCTCCATTGCACTCTTGCCTGGGCAACAGAACAAGACCTTGTCTCAAAACAAACAGACAGGCTCGGCGCCTATAGCTCAACCGGCTAAGGCGCCAGCCACGTACACCTAAGGTGGC